GGGTGAGGAGAAAGCTACTTCTCAGACGACGTGTCCACCCTGTCCTCTGTACTCCCCGTTCCTGGGCAATGCGCTGGTAAGCTGAGGGAGAGCCAGGAGGGAGCTGGGCCGAGGTCAGCTGTATGAGGTTCAACAAGGCCACGTGCCGGGTCCTGCACTTTGGTCACAACAACCCCATGCAACACGCCAGGCATGGAGAAGAGTGACTGGAAAGCTGCATGGCAGAGAATGTCCTGCTGGTACTGGTTGAGAGCCGGCTGAACATGAGCCAGCAGTGTGCCCAGGTGGCCAAGAGGGCCAACGGCATCCTGGATTGTATCAGGACTAGTGTGGCCAGCAGGAGCAGGGCAGTGACCGTGCCCCTGTCCTGGGCACTGGTGAGGCTGCCCCTTGAATGCTGGGGTCAGGGTTGGGCCCCTCATTCCCAGGTGCTTAGGGACAGGGTTTAGTGGTGGATGGATACAGTTGGACTCAATGATCTTAAAGGTCTTTTCCAACCAAAAGATTCTATGATTCGAAGCAGCAGCATGTGGGTGCCCTCCAGCTCCGCGTTCGTACTGCAGGGGACCATGCGGCACCGCCACTTGAAGATGCTGTGTGAAGCTCTCCCTGCCCTGTTAGCTGGGCCATCTCCAGGGCTAGGCTGCTCCAGAGGAGCCCTTCTGCTCCCTGGCGTGGCCAGCAAGCTCCACGGTTGTCGCAGGCAGACATCAGCCTGATAAGCACAACAGGCTCTTGGCTCCTGCTCCCCTCTCTGAGCACGCAGCTTGGAAGCACAGCCCACACCATTCACAGCACTTCTCTTTACTTTTAACTTTTGAGTATTTTAATTTGCAGGAATCGCCTCCTTTCATGTAGTGAAACCGTGTTTCTTTCTCCCTCTGATCTCCAATTTCGCATAGAAACTGTCTCCTTTGATATGTCTTGTTCACATCAGTCTGATCAGGCAGCTCCATAATTGTTAGCGATTTTCAAAGAACTGGGATCCTTGTCTAATGCTCAGAGTCGAGAATTCCTGCCTTTTTAAATGTTGTTCAAGCAAAATAGATTAATTTAATTTCTTTCTTCCCTTTGGGAACAGGATGCCTCCTGCCTTGCTGCCTACATGCTGTCTTTCATTCCCCCAGGAGCACATGGCTGTAGTTCAAGGGGTCACTCTCTGGCTCGGGAAAGGATTTGTGCAGGTAAATGGAAGACGAAGGAGAACTTGGGATGCCTCAGGAGAGCTCGTTCTCCATACATCAACAGAAGTCCAGGCAGCAGCAGCTCCTCTGGTGTGGGCAATTCCTGCACGTCTGTACCTTCTGGAGGCCACGCACCAGTCTCGACACGCTGCGCATTAACCACGAGGAGCCAGAGCTCTGTCCTGAGGCAGCACAGCCCCGAGCACCACCCCCTGTACTGCGCCACCAGGACGCCTCTTCAGCCAGACCTCCCTGCAGGAGCACGGCAGGACCTGGCGCTTCACCGGCTGGCCCAGCTCCTCCTGCGGCGCAGCCCTGCTCTCCCCCAGCCCGTCCCCAGCCCCATGCTCTCCCTCCCAGTGCACTGGCACTGTCCCCCTTGCTGAGAGCATTGGGGACCTGCCTTCTTTTTGATGCCAGTCAGCCTTTTGCAGGCTGTCTTCTACTTTGATACAGCCTTTGGAGAACAGTGTTTTATAGTTCCCTGCCCGCAGCATGTGCCGACACGTGCAGTCTGTGACGCGCTCTGGCTGGTCAATGGGATGACAGATAGCCCGATGCGCGTGGGGAAGGGTGCGACGTTCTGGGCGGTGCAGCAAGCCAGCCGCCCTCCCCGGGCTCAAGGTGTGCTCAGCAGCGTGGGAACCCACCGTCAGGCCAGCACAGGGAGCAAGGGCAGCAACACTGCAGCTCATGCATCCCCTCCCTGCACCCCTCCCGATGCTCAGGGGAGCACAAACGCCCTGCCCTGCTCCGCCACGCACTGCCCTGCTCCGCCATCCCTGAGGGGACAGACTCACGCGGCCTCGCGGCACGCGTCCCAGCCTGGCCCTCAGCACTTCAGCGAGGCTGGTCAACAATGGACTTAAAAGATGCCCAGTGGCAAGGGGATTGGCAGGCTGATGGCAACACAGGGAAGCCACACTTCCGTCACCGGGGACATGAATTCCCCAGTCTCAGCCACCAACACCCGGCCCCTTGGAGGAAGGCCAGAAGCCAGGTGAGAAGGGCTCGGCAGCGCTGCAGAGCGCACAAGGGGACGGCAAAGCAGCAGGCAGAGGAGGGGCTGGGGCGCAGGCAGGCAGAGAGGCAGAAACCCCACTGGGGCCAACCTGAACCACAGGCAGCCGTGAGCTCTTCAGCGCCGGTCACGGGCCTGAGCCCGCAGCGTGTAGAAGGTTTTCTGCTCCCGGTCCAGGCGCTCAGTGGCATGGATGTCACCTGTGATCTCATCGATGAGGAAGATAGTCCCTGCACCCTCCCCGGAGATAGTGTACTTGATGGAGCCGTCCCCCTCATCCGAGTCCGAGTGGATCTG